GAAATTCCAAAACAGGTTAATACTAGAACCGCAAGATATAAAAACTCCTAATATTATCTCGTGCATTGATAGGACATTGCCATATTGGAGTATGTGTAACTGACTCTAGGGTTATTTACTGCTTTACGGATGATACCGCGGAATCGGCTTCTAAAGTGGGATTCTGACGAAACATGCCCTCTGTCGACTGAAGTTTAACAACAAGTTCTGGGAGAGTCATCAATACCTTATTCATGTTGTAATTCAACTGAAATTGTTCGAAGCTCTTCGGCAAAGACTGGAGCACTATACCCCTTTCTTTCAGCTTAAAGAAAAAGTTAAGAATACAAGAGTTGCTCTCTTCATCTGGAGCTCTTCCTTCAGAACTCAGAACCAGACAACAATTGCTGACCTCACTCAGAAACTTGAAGATTTAAATGCAGATAGATCAGATATGAATTGGGAGGAATGGGGATCTACTAAAAGTAAGCTGAATAAAGCCCATGCCCAAGAAGAAATTTTCTGGCAACAAAAAGCCAAGCACAGATGGTTAAAGGAAGGGGATGCCAACACAAAATTTTTTCATGCCTTTACCCTGCAAAGAAGAAAACTCAATGCTATCACAAGGTTGATCAATAATCAAGGCAAAGTTCTCTCCTCTCAGAAAGATTTGGAAAAGCATATCTCTGATTTTTACAGTGGCCTTTTCTCTTCTGAAGGATGTTGGGGAGGAGACTCCATCCTCCCTCTCATTCCCAGAAGCATCACCACAGAAATGAACAATGCTCTTCTCAGGCCAGTAGAGAAAGAAGAAGTTAAGAGCTGTCTTTTTAGCCTGAATCCTGATAAATCCCCTGGGGAGGATGGTATGACAGCTGCCTTCTACCAGCATTTCTGGTTGCTCATTGAGGATGATATTGTGAAGGCTGTCCTGAGCTTTTTCCATTCAGGTATGATTCTAAAGTATTGGAACCACACAGTTGTCTCCTTAATTCCAAAATGCCCCAACCCTAAATTTCTGAGTCAATTTAGACCCATAAGTCTTTGTACTGTTATTTACAAGATCATATCTAAACTTCTTGCTTTGAGACTTAAGGCTTGCCTTCCAAACTGTGTAAGTGACTACCAAGCTGCATTCTTGGAGGGAAGACAGTTAACTGATAATGTCATAGTTGCACAAGAGGCCTTCCACTATCTGAATAGGCATGTCTCTGGCCCAAATTTTTTCATGGCTCTGAAATTGGATCTCATCAAAGCATTTGATCGAGTTGAATGGTTATGTCTTAAGAAAATTATGATTCAAATGGGGTTTGACCATAGGTTTGTGAAGCTCATTATGCTGTGTGTTTCAACTGCTTCCTTTTCCTTCAAAGTAAATGGATCAGTGAATGGATATGTATCACCTTCCAGAGGCATAAGGCAGAGGGACCTTTTGTCCCCCTATCTCTTTATCATTGTTGCTGAATTGCTCACTGCCATTATCCTTCACTCCATCTCCTCTGGACTTCTGAAAGGTATGAAAATTTCAAGGAATGGACCTCTCCTCTCTCATCTGCTCTTTGCAGATGACTCACTGTTATTCTGCAAGGCTGGGGTGGATCAAGCTGGAATTATTATAAGCATTCTTGAGCAGTACAGGCTGTTTACTGGCCAGACAGTAAACCTCAATAAATCTGCTATTTTCTTCAGCAAGAATACACCACAGTATCTCCAAAACTCTATCTACAGGTCCTTGAATGGAATCACTCCTCATAAATCAACCAGATACCTCGGCCTACCCTTGGGTATTGGCAAATCGAAGAAAGAGGTTTTTGATTACCTCCTTGCTTCTGTGAGAAATAAACTAACCTCTTGGAATTCTAAATTACTGAGCTCTGCAGGAAAAGAGGTGCTCTTAAAAGCTGTAATTCAAGCTCTGTCTGTTTTTACCATGAGCTGTTTCATCCTGCCTGTCTCCATATGCTCTGAAATTGCCAGGTTAAGTGCCAAATTCTGGTGGAAGTCAGGAACCAACCAATCTACAGGTGTCCATTGGAAGAAATGGAACTCTATCACTGTGCCTAAAGATTGTGGGGGGATGGCATTCCATGATCTTCAGCTTTTTAACAAAGCACTTATATGTAAACAACTATGGAGAATTGCCTCTAATCCAGATCTTTTGGTTAGTAAACTGCTCAAAGACAGGTATTTCCCTAACTCCTCTCTCATCCATGCTTCTAAAACTCCCTCTGGCTCATGGATGTGGAATTGCTGGATGGGAGTCATGCCCTTATTTGCAAACTGTCTGAGAATTGAAGTTAGGAATGGTTTGAGCACTAAAATTTCAGACTTCAACTGGGTTCCTGGGCTGAATAAACCTACTACATCTCTTATCCCAATTGCCAGAGATCATTTGATTTGGGTTAAAGATCTTCTTCACAGCAATGGTTCTCAATGGAATGAATGGCTTATTAAGCAAGTTTTTGATGAATCTGACAGCTCTGCCATCTTGAAAATCTCAACTGTGAATCCTCTTAGACAAGACAGGCTCTATTGGGGAGTTGATAAGAAAGGTACTTTTTCTGTGTCCAGTACCTATGCTCATCTTTGTTCTCTATAGATTAGGCAATCTGATGTTCCTGAAAGCAGCTCTTCAATGACCACAAATAAATCCATCAAATTTAGGCATTGGAAGTTAAAAGTTGCTGGAAAAATCAAGATCTTTGTCTGGAAATGTCTATCTGGTATCCTCCCTGTTGCTGTCAACCTTATGAAAAGAGGTTTTGAATTAGACTCAACATGTTCTTCTTGTGTAGCTGCAGTTGAAACTTTGGAACACATCCTGTTTTTATGTCCCAGAGCTATTAAGGTGTGGAAATTAAGCCCTGTCCAATGGGATGGAATTTCAAACTTCACTGACTCTTTCAAACACTGGTGGTATCAAGTTTGTTCCTTAGATCACTCCGAAGTTGCCGAAGCAAGAATCTAGCTCACCACTTACATTCTTTGGTGGCTTTGGAAATCGAGGAACTTATGGATTTTCCAACACTCTCTCATCCCGGAGCACTCTATTCTCAGGCTTGCGCATTCTGACTGGTTGGACTTCTCCAATGCTTCTTCTGGCTAGCCTTTGTTGGTTTTTTCTGTTCTTTTTTTGTTTCTTTCGAGGGAAGTCCTCTTTGCTAGGCTTTGTAGCAGTGGCGAGAGTCTTTGCCTGGTTTATTTTCTCCTGTTTCGGTTGTTGTTTGTTTTTCTGTTTGTTGAGGCTTTAGACCGCGTGTTGCGTGTCTCTCAGTTTTTATTTTCGATTTGGATTAGTCCTTTGTATTCGAA